GCACAATACAATTGCTTACCACCTGCTGACCAATGCCTAGCCAGTTCCCAAGCCATGGTGCCCCCAGCCAACTCCCCCCAGTTTATATACCGACCATGACATCACATGGTATGGAATATCCCTTTGGCCAGTTTGGGTCAGCTGTCCTGGCTGTGTCCCCACCCAGCTTCTTGTGCACCTCCCCACTGGCAGACCATGGCAAGCTGAAAAATCCTTGACTTAGTATAAGCACTACTTAGCAACAACTAAAACATCAACGTGTTATCAACATTATTCTCATACTAAATGCAAAGCACAGCACTATACCAGCTACTAGGAAGAAAATTAACTCTATCTCAGCCAAAACCAGAACATGCCATAACCTGTCTTTCTTACATTAGAAAGGTCACAATATGTTATATATATATAAAGGTCACAAATAGTTGGGGTGTAACAGTGACTAAGAGATAAACAGTATGTGAATAATAAGGCACAGGATGCTGCTTAATGATTGCTCTAAAATACAGAAGTCTTGGGCAGTGCTACACATCTGACATTTCCAATTCTTTATTTTATGACTGAGGAGATGGTACAGTAGTTTTTCAGTACAGAGTTTTGCTGTCAGACACCTGTCTTGAGTTTTTTTGACAGGAAAGAGGAAGAAAGACATTTTGGTGCAAAATGACAGACAAACTCAGAACTGTTGGCAGATGGATAAGCATTTTTTAGGTTGCTGTTACTGGCTTTTTTTTGCCATCTCGTGCATTCTAGATTTTGAGACATTCCATTGTAGTTATTTAAAGAACTTAAGAACATCCATACTAGGTTGGACCAAAGGTTCTCCTCCTTCTAGGGACAAGAAAGGGCACACAGTATTCAGAAGGCAGCTCATATGGATGTATAAAATGGTTTAATCATAACACTTTTGTTCTCTGTTCCTTTCCAAACAGTTGCAAACATTCTGTTTACTTTTTAGCTTCTACCACACAAAAGCTGACATGTTTGTGGAAATTTCTATTACTACCTCAGGATCTCATTGCAAAGTGGTAATGGTGAAACCACTGACCATAACCTTATATGTGAAATAAGGATTGTGTTTTGCACACATGTGACTTTACACATGCTTCTTTCTCAAATCATTCCTGATAGGTGATAAATATTTACTCTGATATGAATCTAGTACACTTAAAGAGTTTTTAACCTTCATGAGTCTGAATGTCACAGCTGCTGCTTTACTCCTTTACTGACATCCCACTTTTTTGCAGTGCTTTGCTGGAGGTAAGCAAACTACGTGGAAGTGGGAGAGTTAGCTTTTATTGCTCTTGCAGGAAGGTTAAATGCATTACAGTCCCTGCTGGAGAGCAGCTGTTGGACTGGTACATTTTAAGGCCTCAAATCTTGTGTGTGCAGGTTACTTTTTGATGCTAAGAAATTGCTCTTCTGGTTTTAATGTGAGTTTCCTTCAACATAGAGCACTTCTCTTAAGACAGATAACCTCCCTTATCTTTCCTCTGTACGTTCTGTTCTGCTACTAAAATGTCCTTTTGACAAACTTCTTTCCACCCAATTTTCTGATGTGTTTATGAGGTCAATATTCTTATTTATGGCTAGACGTCTCCAATTTTTTCTTACACGCAGTATTCTAGTCCATATTCTGATCTCAGTTATGTTCTTGAAATCCACATTGGTGTCAGAAGGAGTATTGATGTTAATATTTATTCAGGAGTTTTTTCACAGAACCTGTATTTTCTCTTTCACGTAAGTGGATCACCTCCTGTTGAATTATGGCTCAATAAATTTGCAGAGTATATCTCTAGGCCCAGGTTCCATACATACTATTTTCAATTTTCAGCAGCCTCATTGAGAGCATACTTTTCTGCACATTTGATATTGATGACATTTGCAAAGAAAAAAAAATCAAAATTGAAAATTCTGGAGCTGAACAATCGCTATAGTAAAATCTTAAGGTTGAAGGACTTAAAAACACTCAGAACACCATTAGATGTAGATGAGGCCTCTACATCACAACAAACCTTTGATTTAAAGTTTGGATATTTTTTGTGAAGCTAGAGCTGGAATACCAAAATTTGTAGTAATTTCTTTCCCATGGATTTTTACCTCCATTTTATTTCTATATCTTGCTGGTTAGATAACTTTAAATGTACTGTCCATATGAACTGATGATTTTGGTAGAAATAGTATTTTTCAGGGTTTTTTTTATGTTTTTGAAATTGAGTAGGTAGAAAAAGGGAAATTGCCTATGAACTGCTAGACAGGAAAATTATTCTTAGTGATTTTTTTTTTTTTTTTTTTGCAGGAGACAAAGTTTTTTACAGAAAAGTATATAGAATGACCTTATACTTCCACAGGAATACATAGGGGGTGACTGGGAACTTTAGTACTAGAGTGACAGCCAATTCTTCATTTTCTGAAGACCATCTGGAATATTTCTAACTGAGAAGGCCACTCAGTTGTACCTAAAACTGGAATAACAATCAGATGAACTGCATCTCTTGCTCACAGCCTACTATCTGCCCATTTTCAGTTTTTTTACTTACTGTTGGTTTGTTTTGCTAGTATTACAAGGGAAGTCTTTAATTCTTGTAGCTCTTTTGTCCTTAGAATGAGCACACCAAGCATGTTGTAAAATACTGTAGAACATATAGTCTCCACAATGCAAAAATATGGGTTAAGATATTCAAAAGAAAACCTAGTAATGTTCACCCTATTTACAAAAATATTTTTTAATGAATAACACATGAATATGAACAAATTTTTACACTTTTACAATTCAAGGTTTCTGTCTGGAACAAAGAAAACATTGAACAACACTGATTGTTTTCGAAAGCTCAAAAGGATAGGGTTGCAATATCTAAATGTTCTTAAGTGTTTGCTAGTCATATTCCTGATCTATGCAGTACAGTATACACCATGCTGAGGCAGAAAATAGTTGTTATTATTAATGTTGTTATCATCATCACTGTTACAAGTAGAGAGAAGGGAAATTGTTATACGATTCAATTCAGCGGGAATTTTTAATAAGTTCCAGAAATTGCAGATTTAGGTCAAAGTTATTTCTAGACTCTGAAAAGTACTATAAACGAATAGTTCCTATTATTACTTGTTAACACAGCAGTGGTTAGTTGCTATAAAGATAAGAATCATAGAATCATAAAACCTTTGGGTTGGAAGAACCCTTAAAGGTCATCTAGTCCACCCCCCCCGCCATGAGCAGGGACATCTTCAACTAGATCAGGTTGCTCAGAGCTCTGTCCAACCTGACCTTGAATGTTTCCAGGGCTGGGGCATCTACCACCTCTCTGCGCAAGAATGATGCTTAAAATTTGTTTCTTGTCATTCCAGACCCATTATAACACCAGGGGAAAAAGACTGCTTTTACACCCAAACAGTTTAATACTAGCAAATAATATTTTCTAAAGCAATAATAACTTAGAGGAGAAGCATGCTTCCAACTGGTTTGTTTTTCAATTGTGCATGCTATCTGCACCAGTCTGCATCTAGCCATTTTCTGAAAACTACTGCTGAATATATAACATTTTGCAATGTAATATACACTTGTAGAATTTTGACAGAGAAATGTATTTTCTCCTCTACATTTGGTTTCAAGAGAAAGGCTTGAGTGACCAAACTTTATAGCTTTTTACAACTTCATCAGCTAATCCTATGATCAATATTACCTCTCTCTCTCTACAAGCCTTCCTTTTATCATATACATTCTTAACATATCAGAAGGGAGATTATGGCATACCTGTTAGGACATCAGCTATCAAAAATTACTGAAGATTAAGAATCATTTGGGTAATGTCTTACCATGATATTTTGATTATATTTCTTTAAGGAAACTCCTAACATTTTCACTGCATCTATGTCCTATATCAAGAAAATTTTCTCAAGCAAAGGAGAGTCTTCTAATAAAGACCTCCATTTGTACAGAAGGAATATTGTCTTGCCCTACAGTAGCTTAACTGTGATGGTAAATGACTGGTTGGAAACAATTGAAGATGCAGGCTCTGAAATTCATTGCCATATTTTTCTACATTGCCCTACTCTGCACAATGCATCATCCTTCAGTCCTGATGTGCAAACCTATGTTCATGCCATTCACATCCGTCGTGAAAATGCACCATTCTCTTTCAGCCGTTCATGTCCTGGCTGAAAAGGCACAGCAGTCATTTTGAATGGTTGAATAGCTGACGAGCACACTTATGAAAAGCCCCAGTGATTTGCATGTTTCTGTGTGAACTCCTCTCTTATCAACCCTTTAGGAAGAGTTCCATCTCTGGTCCAAGAGATCCAGTATTAAAATGTAATAATATATTTAAAATGTAATAATGTATTTAAAGTGTAATAGTAGACAATCACAGCCCTTTGTTTACTTGTTCTTTCTCTTTCCCATTTCTCCTCGTAGGTGTAATAAGAACAGCTTTGCCAAATATGGACAGAGAAGTGAAAGAACAATATCAAGTTCTAATCCAAGCCAAGGACATGGGAGGACAGCTGGGAGGACTAGCTGGTACTACCACTGTAAACATCACTCTCACGGATGTTAATGACAACCCACCCAGATTTCCTAAGAGTACGTTGTATTCCAAATACACTAATTTTCAAATCAGCATGACTGAAAGTATTGATGTGAAAAATCTTTTAAATAAGGAATTGAGATCCAGAAAGAAGAACAGTATATTGTGAAAAAATTTAGAATATATTGTTGGGTTTTTTTGAATAATGTAAAGCTCAGTTTGAAAATATGAGTTTTAAGTATTTAAGAGAAAATATATCATCATTCCACAGGTCCAGCCTGAGCCTGAGAATTCATTTCATTTACACTTTAAAAGTGATTTGGGAAATACTGTTTTGTCAAGGGAAAGTGGATGATCCCCTTCAAATGACAAAAGGTTATAACCTGAGACTTCCAGATACCAAAGACAGAGCTGGTTTATGCTAAGCATTGTTATAATCAACAGGAGCAGATTTTTTACATGTATTGGCCCAGAAGTTTATATCTGTCCCTTAAAACACTTACAACCTCAAAATAGTGATCATCCACTGACAATTTATAACATTTCATATCAATTAGTTTAAATGATGCTTCTGAGAAATATGCTAATTTAAAGAGTTTCATAGTCTGTTTATGATTAGCAGGATTGTCACTTGCTGCTCTCCTTAAATTTACTGAAGCTTTGTATATTCTGTACCTTTGAAATGCAGGCACTAATCAAGCATAAATCTTGATAATTATGCCAAAACAATTAGCTGCTAAAAGTTATTAGTAAGGCAAATTCATATGAGAACATTCATATGAATTTGAAGTAAGATCGTGGCAGCTTTTTGCTTTGTATCTCTTTTCTTGCACATGAATTGTAATGCCACTTTATGTATTACGGATGCTCCTTAGGTACCAAACCAGACCTGAAACTACAGTTTTCTCTCATATAAAAATTCTTCTTCTTCTTTTCCTCAGTATGAAAATGACAACAAGTTGGGTGGGAGTGTTGATCTGCTGGAGGGTAGGAGGGTTCTGCAGAGGGATCTGGACAGGCTGGATCGATGGGCAGAGGCCAACTGTATGAGGTTCAACAAGGCCAAGTGCCAGGTCCTGCACTTCAGCCACAACAACCCCATGCAACGCTACAGGCTTGGGGAGGAGTGGCTGGAGAGCAGCCCGGCGGAAAGGGACCTGGGGGTGCTGGTTGACAGCCGGCTGAACATGAGCCGGCAGTGTGCCCAGGTGGCCAAGAAGGCCAACAGCGTCCTGGCCTGTATCAGAAATAGTGCGGCCAGCAGGCATAGGGAAGGGATCGGGCCCCTGTACTCAGCACTGGTGAGGCTGCACCTTGAATACTGTGTTCAGTGTTGGGCCCCTCACTACAAGAAGGACGTTGAGGTGCTGGAGCGTGTCCAGAGAAGGGCAACGAAGCTGGTGAGGGGTCTGGAGCACAAGTCTTATGAGGAGCGGCTGAGGGAACTGGGGTTGTTTAGTCTGGAGAAGAGGAGGCTGAGAGGAGACCTTATCGCTCTCTACAGCTACCTGAAAGGGGGTTGTGGTGACGAGGGTGTTGGTCTCTTCTCCCAAGTAACTAGTGATAGACCGAGAGGAAATGGCCTCAAGTTGCACCAGGGGAGATTTAGATTGGATATTAGGAAAAATTGCGTTACCGAGAGGGTGGTCAGGCATTGGAACAGGCTGCCCAGGGAGGTGGTGGAGTCACCATCTCTGGAAGTGTTCAAAAAACGTGTGGATGTGGCACTTTGGGACATGGTTTAGGGAACATGGTGGTGCTGGATTAATGGTTGGACTTGATGATCTTGAAGGTCCTTTCCAACCTAGTGATTCTGTGATTCTGTAAAAAAAAAAAAAAAAAAAAAAATTGCATTTCTGCAGGCAGGTAAGAATGACCACGTTAAGAAAAAGATGTGTCTGGCCCTGCCTTTTGTCTCTTACACTGACATCTAGAGGGTCTGCATGAGAACAGGCCAAGCAATACTCCAGAACATTTCCTCAGTTTCTAACGATTTTTAGCCCAGATGGTGTCTTTGTATTTAACAACACGCAATAGATTTTTCTTACAGTAAGTTGTCCTGTTGCTTTGAAACTTATATAAAATTCCAGAGTCCACAACATCCTATGTTGGTGAGGTGCACAGATTAATCCTATATTGCACAATGAACGGCTTCCCCTCATTTGTTTTGAATCCTTCCCTAACTATCTACCTGCATGTTGACTTATTTAAAGAATTCAAAAAACATTGCAAAATATGATCTTTATTTAGAAAAGCTGTTTTGAGATTTTTTCAGTATGGGATATTCTCCATGAGTCCATTAATCCGGCTCCTACTCTTTTGCCCTGTGCATGTTAGTCATGTCCATCCTCAGCTCTCCTGAACTCCCTGGAAACCTTGGGGAAAAAAATCAGCGTCATAGTAGCACCTCCAAGCCTTTATGTGCCACAGTGGCTTGAAGCAAAATATTACACATCATAATAGTTCACTTATTTAATCCTTCAGGCTCTTGGGCATGTAACAGCTAATCCAAATGATGTGTTACTGTTGTGTCTGTTCGTTCCACAACTGCTTCTATAGCTAATTTAACCTTCTCATGAGTCCCCCATAAATAAGGGTTCTAGGATAGAAAAATTTCCCAGCTATTCTACACTGAACACAAAGAAAAAAATGTATTCACTTTTACATATTTGATCTTATCTTCTCTGAGCCTTCTATATCTCAATTTTGAGTTGGCTTTACACAGTTCTTCTCAGGCTTTTGCCTCCAGATGTCTTTTAAAAACAAATAGTATTAGCTTGTTTGCCAGAGATTTATTCAAACACATTTTTTGTTTTTGTTATTGTGGTTTTATAGATAAAGCAGATTTTATGGTTCTTTCTATTGTCCTCCCTGAGACACAACTTCATTCCTTTGAAAGATATGTTCTTGCTTTTATTAGCTATGTTGTTTATCCTTACTGACTTGCTTTTTAATGGGTGCTGCACATTTGCTGTGAGTCTTCAAAATGGCATCCCTAGATAGCATCCACACCGCTCACAGTGATTTAACTGTCTCGGCTATCCATATGTATTTTTAATAGAAATATTACTCAGTTTTATTTATTCCCTTTTTTTTTCTTTAATTTAACTGAGTACAACCATCATGTAATTTTGGCTCTTATTGCTTCTGCACAGATATTAAATTCATTATGATTGCTCTAAAATGTAGAAGAATTCAAGAACTTTTCCTGACTAGCTAGTGTTAATACTGTTCTCTTCTTCAAGTCATATTTGACTTAGAGCTTCCTTTAACAACCATCCACTGATAAGGTCTACTTTGCCTTTCCTGTGTATTTTGCTCCTTGGTACTGGACTGCGTGACTGATTTTCTTCTTTCCTGTGGATTTTGAACATGCCTGTTATGCTAATACTCTTTTTTAGCATTAGGCATTAAAGCTGCTCATACTAGTTCACATTTTAATCCTTGGCTTTGTATTGTCTTCTTTCTCCTCTTTCCTGGACCCTAGTTTGATTCTGTATGATCTACCATTTCTACATTTCCTACAGGACTACCATCACCTTTTGCAGCATTTTTCAGTGAAGAATGCAGAATTCTGGTGACTGCACCCTTTATCTGAACTGAAAAAAATACTTCCGCATTTTTTTGAATTTCACTCTTTCTAATACCTGCAAATTTTCCTGAACTTTTCAGCTAGAGCCACAATGGACATAGGAAAGTTTTTAAACTTTCTGAAGCCTGTTCTTCCTATGGCAAATATGAATTTTGCATCTTCTCTCTGGGCACCCATTCTTTCCAATGGCCCTGCTTTCCAATAATGTAAATCACTTCTCCTTACACCTTTTTCTCAGCCAGCTGTTTAAACTTTGCCTTTCTGTCTTTCTCTCCCTGATTGTACATGGTGAGACAATTTCTGACTATGCTACTATGAATGTCCTTAACTTCGGCTTTCACTTGCCAGCCTAAATTTCATCCCTAAGGACTCTGTCCAGTCTTACCTGATTTCGTCGGAGCTCACATGAACTAGAGCCACTGGCACCTTCTTGTGTTTCCTGACATCCTGTCAAAACACTTGTGAGATGCGCCAAATCTGGTCAACAAGCAAATCATCTCAGAGGGTCTCTTTGAATGAACATTCCCACTGTCCTTGTCCTCAATGCTTCTTAAATGCCCACCACTGCAGTCTGCTCCTTGCTTCCAGCTGGAACCCCTGCTGCTGGAGCGGTACCAGAGGTGCAAGAGGAAATAACTGCCTGGAAATTGAAAAACTCAGTGCATTGGCAAGTTCCTTGGGCCCAATGCTCTTCCCTGTGCCTGATTTTCAGTTGTATATTTTACCCTCTTTGCTGTTAGGGGCCTTATTAATTTTCTGTTTTATTGTATGCTTTCATCTACTATGACGTTGTAAAAATACACGCGTCTCATATAATGTCAGACAGTTTTCATGACACGTAGAAATCATGGAATTTATCATCCTCTTTGAAGAAGATAGCCTTGAGGTCTCGTTTAATGCATGTACTGTAGTTACGACGTCTTTGACCAATTGTTGCTATGAAGGAGCAAAAAAAAAAGAATCCTTTTCTTAGACAAGAGACTAAGCTTGTCCTGTGCTTTGCATGCTAATAGGCTTGAAAACCTTTTCTTTCTATTATATCAAATGTCACAGAAGCCGAATTATAGCAGTGACTCTCAAAAAAACAGAAAAGAATAATATTGGATGTTCGTGTTGATATTGAAAATAATAAATATTTAGCATAGATTACAAGCTAAAATGTCAGTATGGGGACTCCAGTGTATTGGAACAAGCTTGATTAAGGCAGGCAGTTACCTGAAACATTTGGGTTTTCTGGGAGATGTGTTAAGGACTTCTGCTTAATCAAAATGGTAAAAGCAAAAATCCTGATCAATGAGGATATACTTAGTCAGTAAGTGGTATGTGAGATGATGTATAGTCACAGAGACACAAGGCTAATCACAGTTAAACAAAAATAACTGGTAGGAAAAAAGATGAGTATGAATTTTATTTCTAATATAGTGGCTGTATTTTTCAATTTTGCTTTTGAAGACATTGCAATGA